TTTTTTTTTTTTTTTTTTTGGTAGTGATATTAATTGATTGTTTTTGGACGTATGTTGTAGTCATGATCATGTTTTTTCTAGGGAAGTGGAGTTGAGTAGAGCTATTCAGTCTGTGGGTTAAAATGGGAAAGTAAAGATTGTAGGATGGACTGATTGTACTCTCTGTGTTGGTTAGGAATGAAAGGAGGAGGGACCAAATCCCAACCAAAATTTATTGTAGCCTCAACTCAAATGAGAAAAAAAGAAAGAAAGAAAGATAGGCCCCTCTCGGTAATTTCAGGATGACTATATTATATTATATAAATAAATATACCTAGGATTCATATTGTTCTTAATTTTAATATATCAACAATTATTGATTGTATTAAATTTTCTATTGTTATGAGTTACAATTTTAATAATAGTAGATTTTTATATATCTTGAATTTATTATGGCTATCAATTTATAAATTGCAATGAAATTAAACATGGTTGTAGACTTGTAGTCATAATGTTTGAGAAACATGACATGTTACTTATACAAAAGTAGCTTCTTGGTTACTAGTCATAGCACTGAAAGAACAATCATAAACAGAAAAAAAATTGAAAAATTTCAGTTTTCATCTTCAGCTATTTCATAAATAAATATAGACATGTCCACGGGCCGAACCAGCACGCGAACCAGTCCCGGCCCGGCCCTGAACCGGCTGCCTCAGTGCCGGTTCGTTAAACCGGACCCTTAGGACCGCGGTTCGGTCCCATTTCATAAACTTTTATTTTTTGACCCACCGGGCCACGGGTCACAACGTTTTATTTTTTTATTTTTTGGTTTTTGAAGGGCCGTACCGGCTCAAAATCCTCCGAGACCCGTCGGGCCCGTGAACCGACATTTCAGGGCCAGTTCATATTCGGGCTGGTCACGGGCTATAATAGTGAAGCCCACCGACCCAGCGGGCCAGACCAGGCCGGGTCGCAGCTCGACAGTTGGTCACCTCTAAGTAGATATAGTATGATTATTCAACTACTCAATCAAGCAATAAGTACTTGTACTTTAAGTATGCAACTTAAAATACGTATCTAATGTCACATCAGGCAGAGAAGTGTGACAAGAAGAAAAACAGCCAATTCACCGTATAAATTAATCACTCGCATGTTCTCTAGCTACAGAGCCTACACATAGCTAAGTTCTTACATAATATTACATGTCATTTCAATTGCTTGTTTGTGACAAAATGATTGGGTAATTTATTTAAAAAAAAAATATAGAAATTAAGTGGACAAAAAAAAAAAAAAAAAAAAAAGGAGTGGACAAGCATGAAACACACGTATTCCTTGAATACGTTTTTCAAAAAAAAATTAATTAAAATAACGTATTCCTTGAATACGTTTTCATTAAATAATTTTAATTGAAAAAAAAAATCGTAAACAATTTTGAAAATAATTTTCGTTAAGTAAAAAAAATAAAA